GATCCTCATATTCATTCTATAATAATGGTTTTATAAAATATTCATCCTTTATGGACTGAGTTCACTCAGCATAATGCTTTACAGTCCCTCTGGGAATAATTTATAACTTATTGCTTCTGCATGCTGCATAGTATTCCATAGTGTGACTCTACCATAATTTCTCAATCCATTCGTTTGTGGTTGGACATTTGGGCTGTGTCCATGTTCTTGCGATGGTGAATAATGCTGCTATGAATATTGATCAGTCTTTCCTCAATCTAATGATAAAGTCTTCTTCATAAACTCTGGATTCACAAAATACTCTGTTCCAATCATTTTTTAATAATCTTCAACAATATTTTGCTTGCATGAGATATGAATTATATTGTTTGATAATTTCTAAACTCTATTGGGTAACCTTTCTTGGAAATTTTTTCAAATATAGATCTCTTCCAGTCAGTTGGCCAGATAGCTGTCTTACAAATTTCCTCCATAAACTGGTTAATATATTCAGGGCTATATCGGTAACTTGCAACAAGCCTATTGGTATTCCATTGATTCCTGGGCCTTACTTTTTTCCAGTGCCTTCAGTTCAGCTTTAATTCCATCCTTCACTACCAATGGATCTTATTGATGTACTACTTGAAATAAGTCATTGAGTCAAGTGCACCTCATCCAGGGTCCTAATCTTTTATACTGGCCTCTCAAGTATGATGTCCCTCTCCAAGGACTGGTTCCTTCTTGCAACATGCCCAAAGTATGTCAGACAGAGCTTCAGGAACAATCTGATTTCTCCCTCTCCAAAATGAACCCTAGCAGACTATGATATATTTAATACTCTTCTACAGCACCACAGTTCAAAGGCATCAATTCTTCTGTTATCCCTAGTAACAGGCCGGCTTTTTGACACATAGCAAGTAATTGTGAAGACCATGGTGCACCTTAGTCTCCAGACTGACATTCTTGCTTTTTAGCACTCTGGAGAGGTCCCTGACAGCATAAATATTTTTATTTCCTGGTTGCTGGTACCAAAAGTGGATTGTAGGGCCAAGCAAACTGAAGCTGTTAACAATCCCAATCTCTTCTCTGTTTATCATAATGCTGCCCAGTGGAGAGAATATTTGTTTCAATCCATATTGAAGGCTACAGTACTTGGCCTTCTGCAGCAAGCTCTTTAGGTCCTCCTCAGTTTCAGCAAGCAGGGTTGTATCACCTGCATAGTGTAGGTTGTTGATGAGTCTTCCTCCAATCCTGATGCCACACTCCTCCTCATAAAACCCTGCCTCCTGGATGATACGTTCTACAAATATATTGCAAAGATATGGAGATAGGAGACATCTCTGGTGTATACCCTTAACAATTTTGAACAATGCAGTGTTTCTTTTCTCTGTTCTGACGACTGCCTCCTTGTCCAAGTAAACGTTTCACATAAGCACAATCAAGTGTTCTGGGATTTCCATTCTTCTCATACTTAGCCACAGTTTGTTGTGATCCAAACAATCAAACACTTTTGCATAATCAATGAAACACAGATAGACATTTTTCTAGTCTCTCTGCTTTCAGCCAAGATCCATCTATCCTTACCTTTAATATCCCTAGTACCATGGCCTCTTCTAAACCCAGCCTGCACATCTGGTAGTTCTCTGGTGTTGTGCTGTTTCAGTCTTTTTTGGATCTATTTTAGCAGAATCTTGCTTATATGTGATATTAATGGTATTATTCAATAATTTCTGCATTCTGTCGGGTCACCTTTCTTTGGAACGGGCACAAATATGGATCTCTTCTAGTCAGTTGGCCAGTTCTCTAGATTTCTTGGCACACCACCATCTGTTTGTTGAAATATGTCAATTTTTCATAAATACTCTGGGTCTTATTTTTTTGCCAATTCCTTCAGAGCAGCTTGAACTTCTTCCTTCATCACTACATGTTCTTACTCATACATTATATACATTTCTTTTATTCTTTGGCCTATTCTACTTTATTTGTGAGAGATTATTTTTACACCTTTAACTGATTGTGTAAGAAGGTTCAGATGTGAAACAATTCTCATCTCATCACAAGAGGTCAAGGGAATGTTTGTATACAATCTTGTGTCAACAAAGGAAACTCATATGTGTAAATTTCCAGTAATAGGCCATTCCTCTTAAGAATTCAGTGCATACACGACAAAATCAAGCTAGAAACTTTTAGTGGCATCTCTTCAGCTCAATTTAAATTAAAAGCAATATGTTACTAAAGGTCTAAAGCAAAATATACATGATAATGGTGGCCCAGCTGAGAATCTCTGATCCAAAATAAAGTTTGAAAATTCTCTTTGGAGCCTTGAATCTTAAATAAATGGGGTATTTCTTCATGCTGTTGTTCCTAGTTAAATACTACTGTGAAGTTACCTACAATTTAGGTACTGTCAAGTTACCTCAAAATCTTATCTATGACAGAACGAAACTATTAACAATCCTACACTATCCTCACAATCTTTGCTGTACTAAAACTCATTGTTCTAGTCACTACATCAATCCATCTCAAGAGTCTTTCTCTCTCTTTTAATGACCTTCCACTTTTCCAAGAATGATGCCCTTTTCCAAAGATAAGCCTCTCCCTATCACATGTTCAAAGTATGTAAGTGGGAGTCTTACTATCCTTGTCTGTAAACAACACTCTGACTGTACTTCTTCTAAGAAAGATATATCTGGGTTTTTTTTGTTTGTTTGTTTTGGGGGATTGGGATTGGCAGTCCATTACATATTCAATCCTTTTTGCCAACAACACAACTCAAAAGTATAAATTCTTTAATCTTTCTTACTTATTTTCTAACTCTCACATGTATGTGAAGCAATTGAAAATATCATGGTTTGGGCTAGAGGCATTTTAATGTTTGAACCAGCATGCTTGCTCATTAGCACCTTAAAAAGATCTTTGGCAGCAGATTTACCCAATGAAACACATTATTTTGTTTCTTGACTGTTTCCATTGATACTGATTGTAGAGATAAGTCAAGTGAAATCCTTGACAATATCAATCTTTCCTACAAGTATTATAATTTTCTCATAATACTCCTATATAGAACAAGTCACTGACACAGAGTCAATTCTGACTCATAGCAAGTGTTTTACTGCCTTTGAAAACCTACTAGAGGGCCAGTTATATGCCAGTTCCAACTCGATGGCACACAACAATGACTTGTATTAAAGACTATGATTGCTAAACAAGAGGATAGTAGTTTTAACTCACCAACCACAGCATGGTAAATATAAGACATTCTGTTTCTTTAAAGATTTATAGCCTTAAATTATCTACAGGGGAGTTCTACTTGTCTTATAGTGTCATTGTGAATATTCTCAGGTAACCATAACAAAAGTGAATGCAGAAAAAAATGATCCCTTAAATTTGATATATTCCACTCATTCCTCAGTAGTAT